TGCCATTATATTTCAGCTTGGGAAGCAAGATTGTGTGGAATTCAGTGACTTTCTGAGACCTGCTCATCTTTTTTGCGGGAAAAGTAATCGCAACTCATCGTAAACGACCCAAGTAGGCTTATTTCTTATTCAAAAATTATTGTTAGTTTTGAAACCTACTTATAGCGAAAATCATATCACCTATTTAGTTGGTCCTACTCATAAGCAATTCGGCCCGTTTTATGCAACCTCTCGAGATTAGGAGAAAAATGGCAATCATAGAAGTTGTTTGACCTTGTTTTCGCAACTTCGAGGAACGCACCTAGTCCGGAGTCCATTGTATGCATCATGATTTCCAGAGTAGGACCTTGGACGTGGTACATTCCCAGACGTTTCGCCGGCATCGTCAGTGAGTCTCGCTATTCGTAGCACCATATTCAACTCGTCAAAGAGACAAGTGAAGCCGATCCTTTGACCAAACGTGTGCTAAACAATTGTGGTATCTCCCATTCCGCCCTGGCCTATTCACATTTCCTATATCCTCCAATCACACCTTAACTATCACAATATTTTACTTGCTGTATGGAAATCACAAAGGTGGCCGCTCCAAAAAGTACTTTGTTTAAAAATCTTGTGCACAACAGGCAGACACAGTTTCACACGAAATGAAGACTATCACAAAATGGTAATCTCATTCTTCATACACATTCTTGAAGTGCCCCTCGACAAACTTGGCCTTCGAACTAGAGGTGATCTGTGTGTGTGTGTGTGTGTGTGTGTGTGAACTATGAAACTGTGGAAGGTTTACTCCGTCTCCATTTTGCGCTCTCTTGCCATCCACGCACCCCACAGAGAAGAAAGTTCCTCCGCAAAGTGATCATCTCCGAGTCCGTCGACTTGGCACTGGTATTGCCGCCTGGGACGACCGGCGCCGCTGCCGAAGCCATCTCCACACGATCTACAGCAGCAAGTGACGCGGCACTGGCAACGGCGGCCGAAGTTGGCGAGAAGGTAGCCGTGGGCGCTGTGACTTTGCCTTCAGGCTCCAAGTGTGCGCCCAACCTCAGATATCCCACGTCGGTATCGTTTCAATCGCTCAGGTTGGCCGAGCGAAACGTCGTCGTCGGCTGCCCCTCGGCGTCTCGCTTCTCCGAGTCCACGCTCACCGTGACCACGCAGATGACCAACAGCAAAGAGCACTTGGACGCCGACGCCCCCGACTCCCTTTGGCCCCGGGACGCCAGCCACTCAGAGGCTTTCTCGGCTCCGGCTGGCCGCTTCCCGGCCAATCCGGTCGGCTCGAGGCCTTCCAGAGCGGGACTCGCCTCCTCCGCCACTCCGTCTCAGGCACCAATCATGACTGGGCCAGCGGCCGGACTCGAACTCAGGCCCGCCTTCTGCCGGCCGACCAGCATCCCCGACGGCAGCGGTCTCGACCGGCCGCTCTACGACGCCCGGCCCGCCGGCCGTCGGGCAGAACGATTCGTCATGGCAACTGCGAACCCCACGTCCAGTTGCACCCCGTCCGGCTTCGCGCCGAGGACCCTCATGCGCCTCCACACCTTCGACTCGGCCACTTCAGCCCGCCCGTCTCAGGAAGCCCTGCTTCAAGACCCGTTCAGTGAAGCGACTGCCCTGCCGACCCATACGCCGCTGCATCCCACCAAGTCGTCCACGGCCTGGACGGGCCGATTGGCCTGACACACTCGCAGACTCGGCTGGCCAAGAGGGCTTGCGACGCGGAGTTGTCACAAACAAATCTTTTCCACCTCAAAACGAAGCAGCCTGTTCACGAGTTCGCTTGGCAAAGTAAAAAATG